CAGATAGAAAAAGGACTGTTCCACAGAGAGCTTCAGCCGGCCGCCCCTTCATCCATGGTGGCCTGGTTCAAGAGCGAAGATGCCAATCCGGTTTGGAAGAGCTCGGTGGGCAGCTGGCAGGGCCATGTGACCAAGGGCAGCGTCACCAGACAGGTCGGGGCTGGAAACGGGGCTACAAGACCCGTGGCACACCTTACCGGCCTCACCAATGCCGCATACGACTTCGGCAAGATCATGAAGCCTGACTTCACGATCTGTTCCATCACTCGCTATCTTGAAGGAGGCATAATGGGACGCATTCTCCAAGGCGATCCCAATTTCCTCCATGGGCACCATCAAGGGCGCACAGGTCTGGCTTATTACGGAGCTTGGGTCACGCCTCAGCCTCAAGATGTTCCGAGCAATACCGATTGGCTTGTGATGTGTGGCAACAACAGGAGGGTTGTCTTCGTTGGCAACGATAGGAGCAACATCGCTAGCCACGACGGTGCTTTCCAAGATGGAGCCGACTTCAATTTGTACATCAATCAGGGCTTCACCGATGAATTCTCTGATTTCGGTGTCATGGAAGTCATCACGTGGGACCGGGCACTCTCGGAGGACGAGATGTGGACCAGCATGGAGTACCTGAATTGGAAACTCCGGGAAACGCTCCCACATCATCCCGCCGCCCAGTCCTCCATGGTGGCCTGGTTCAAAAGCGAAGATGCCAATCCGGTTTGGAAGAGTGCAGTAGGCAGCTGGCAGGGTCGTGTGACCAAGGGCAGCATCACCAGAAAGGTCGAGGCTGGAAACGGGGCTACAAGACCCGTGGCATACCTCGCCGGCGACAGCAGCGCGGGCTATGACTTCGGCAAGATCATGAAGCCAGACTTTACGATCTGCTCCATCACTCGCTATGTGGAAGGAGGCAAAATGGAACGCATTCTCCAAAACAACAATCCCAATTTCCTCCATGGACACTGGCAAAGGCAAACCGGTGTGGCTTATTATGGGAGATGGGTTACTTTCCATCACTATTCGAGCAACACCGATTGGCTGGTGATGTGTGGCAACAACAAGGGGGTTTTATACCTGGGCAAGGACCAGAAGAACATCGGCATGAACCACGGTAATCTCCACAACGCGGATTTTAATTTGTACATCAACGAGGGCTACACCCATGAAGCATCTGACTTCGGTGTCATGGAGGTCATAACGTGGAACCGCGCACTCTCGGACGAGGAGATGTGGACCAGCATGGAGTACCTGAATTGGAAACTCCAGGCACACCTTGCGCATCGGCCCTCTGCGGAGTCTGCCATGGTGGCCTGGTTCAAAAGCGAGGATGCCAGTCCAGCATGGAAGAGTGCGGTGGGCAGCTGGCAGGGCCATGTGACCAAGGGCAGCGTCACCCGAAAGTTCAGTGCAGGCAGCGGTGCTCCAGTACCCGTGGCATACCTCGCCGGCGACAGCAACGCCGCTTACGACTTCGGCAAGATCATGAAGCCTGATTTCACGATCTGTTCCATCACCCGCTATCTTGAAGGAGGCATAATGGGACGCATTCTCCAAGGCGATCCCAATTTCCTCCATGGGCACCATAATGGGCGCAAAGGTCTGGCTTATTACGGAGCTTGGGTCACGCCTCAGCCTCAAGATGTTCCGAGCAATACCGATTGGCTTGTGATGTGTGGCAACAACAGGAGGGTTGTCTTCGTTGGCAACGATAGGAGCAACATCGCTAGCCACGACGGTGCTTTCCAAGATGGAGCCGACTTCAATTTGTACATCAATCAGGGCTTCACCGATGAAGTCTCTGATTTCGGTGTCATGGAAGTCATCACGTGGGACCGGGCACTCTCGGAGGACGAGATGTGGACCAGCATGGAGTACCTGAATTGGAAGCTCCAGGCTACCATTCCCCGCGAACCAGTTGACAAGCGGTCCATGGTGGCATGGTTCAAGAGCCAGGATGCCAGTCCGGTATGGAAGAGTGCAGTGGGCAGCTGGCAGGGTCGTGTGACCAAGGGCAGCATCGGCAGAAGGGTCGAGGCTGGAAGCGGGGCCACAAGACCTGTATCATACCTCCGCGGCCTCAGCAGCGCGGGATATGACTTCGGCAAGATCATGAAGCCAGTCTTTACGATCTGTTCCATCACTCGCTATCTTGAAGGAGGCTTAATGGGACGCATTCTCCAAAACAACCATCCCAATTTCTTCCATGGGCACCATGGTGGGCACGCCGGTGTGGCTTATTACGGCGCCCCTCTGAGCCTGAAACCCAATGCTTTGGTCTCGAGCAACACCGATTGGCTTGTGATGTGTGGCAACAACAAGGGAGTTGTCTTCGTTGGCAACGAAAGGATCAACATCGGAAACCGCCATGGTGCCCTCCTAAACGCGGACTTCAATTTGTACATCAATGAGGGCTTCCCCAACGAAGTCTCAGATTTCGGTGTCATGGAGGTCATTACGTGGAGACGGGCCCTCTCCGAAGACGAGATGTGGACCAGCATGGAGTACTTGAATTGGAAGCTCCAGGAGACTTTCCAAGTACATCCCGCCGCCCCTTCATCCATGGTGGCCTGGTTCAAGAGCGAAGATGCCAATCCGGTTTGGAAGAGCTCGGTGGGCAGCTGGCAGGGTCGTGTGATCAAGGGCAGCATCATCAGAAAGGTCGAGGCTGGAAGCGGGGCAACGAGACCCGTGGCATACCTTAGGGGCCTCAGCAATGCCGCATACGACTTCGGCAAGATCATGACGGCTGACTTCACGATCTGTTCCATCACTCGCTATCTTGAAGGAGGCATCAAGGGACGCATTCTTCAAAATCGCCATCCCAATTTTATTCATGGGCACCATGGTGGGCGCACCGGGTTGGCTTATTACGGTACCTGGGTCACAAGTCAGGATGTTCCGAGCAACACCGATTGGCTTGTGATGTGTGGCAACAACAATGGGGTTGTCTTTGCTGGCAACGATAGGAGCAACATCGCTAACGGCCACGGTGCTCTCCAAAACGCCGCCGACTTCAATTTGTACATCAATGAGGGCCAAACTTCGGAACCCTCCGATTTCGGTGTCATGGAGGTCATCACATGGAACCGGGCACTTTCTGAAGACGAGATGTGGACCAGCATGGAGTACCTGAACTGGAAGCTCGCGAAAGGCTTGCAGTGAAGCAGTCTGCAGTTCACTGTCCTGGTGTCTCTGTGATCGTCCGTTTAGACTGAGTGCCTGTGGCCGAAAAAGCTTTTTGAGCACATTTTGCGCTCATGCTTGTGAAGTGTAGCATGATGCATCTCTACCATGCCGTGCCGACTGCGGGCGGACTGTCAGCCTCATGTGGTGAGTCCGAGTCTGAGAGTTTGAAGCGTCAGTGTGCGTATCTGTATCCTTCGCATGGCCCAGCAGGCACCATCAGAGGCATCACAATGTGCCAGCTGCTTTAACCGACTACGTCCCAAAGCACCAAATCCATCTCAGGTTCTGGAAGCCGCCAGATCGAGAGCAGGAAGCGTTCATGGGTGAGATCCCAGCCCAGGCGGGAGAGAAGTCCGGAAACCGCAGATGCAAAATGGCACCAACACATCCCAGCTCAGTATCCTAGTCCTAACATATATGGAAGCACACAGAAACAGCGGACAGGCCGTGGTCCCAAGCTTCAAGCCCAAGATCCGCAGGGGTCGCTGAAGATGCTCACCTTCCCCGGCCACGTTTGGCACTTCCGCAGCGGCGTGGACCAGTCCTCTACGCTGCTCTATGTCCAGGCAGCCAAAGCCGCCAAGACTTGGCGAGCAACGCTGTGAGGTTGTTCAGTTCACTTCGATTTGAAGGGCTGTCGTTTCCGGACTTTCAAACGAGCGTATTTCGAGGGAGCCGAGGGAAGCTCAGGGAAGTGGCATAGGCCGGCACAGGCAGAAGCGTCAGTGCTTTGGACGATAGCATCGTGGAGGGATGTCATTTATGCTTGAAGCATTGGCTATCTTGCAAATGGGACAGGGCTTCAAGCAATGGCGGCTATCTTAGATCTGGGACAGGGCTTGAAGATGTCATGGGCTGCCCATTTCCTCTTCGCGAATTTCCACATAAAGCCCAGCCACAAGGGTTTCTCAACTCCTCCATGAGACCCCACCTCAAACCCTGACTGACCCCCTCCCAAAAATGACAAGACAGTCAGTCTCACCTTGTCGCCCGGTGGTGAAGTCGAAACCCTAACTCTCAGAAGGGTGAGACCGCCCGAGCTGCAGGAGATCTTCGATGGCCAGCCCGAGCAGGTCTTCTACCTGGGAGGCGGGCTCCGGGCTCGGGAAGCAGGAAAAATGCATCGTAAACTGGGACACAGTTTTCTCTTTCATACACGGCTTGCATACATGCATGCGTACCGTGCGTACATATACCTACCTGCCTACCTAGGCAGCCACGTGTGAGTTGTGTCATGAATGCTCTCGTTACTTCGTTTCGGAACGCTTCCAATCCCGGTTTCCGAATTGCAGGCGAGGATCCAGGAGAGACGCCAGCAGAGCTCTAAGCATCGAAGCTGGACCCGGCCCGGTCCTTCTCGGCGATAGTTTCTGAATCTCCTGGCCACAGAAGCTTGTGGCACGAGATGCACTCCGCGAGATTGAAGACATCCAGTCTTGAGCACATAGGACATGAGTACTGTACTTGCGAATGTTGGAGTCCGGATCTTGTTGTCTCGAGGAAGTCAGGCTGTTTTTGGATGTTCCCCCAAAGCAGGGTATTGAACAGATCGTTTAGTACAGAAGAGCCCGGTTACTTCGCGCCACTCGCATTTGCGAAAAGCAGGTACGTTGAGCGAGCGTTTAATTCTTGCAAGATGTGCTTGCGCAGCCCGGGCAAAGAGAAGGGAGATGCGGTTTGTCCGGGAGAGTTTGGGGAAACACTACATGAGCACTGTAAGGGGCTTCCATCGGAGATAGTGTGCTGATAATCTGAAGTCCCTTGACAAATCCATGAAAGCCATCCGACACCACTTCTCGTAGCAAGCTCCCCAGGGCGGAATTCACGTGCCGAGCCTCGCGCTGCCGGCCGCTGCTCAGGCGATTCCGGCCCACGAAGAGGCTCTCAGCCGCTTCATGTTGCTTCTGGGATGTGCCCTTGAGTGTACGAAAGTTGAGAACGCTTCACAGGAGCCTTCTCAGTTTGGAATCTCACCTCGTCTTGCCAAGAGCATCTTCCGGGCCTTGTGCAAATGTAGACTTGCTTCTGGACTGTCCGAGAGCTGCAGTCGGCTAGTCGGCGAACTTCTGAAGCCAAGCTTGTGAACTCCGAATGAACATTCGCGGTCTCTGAGTGCAGAGGTGGCTTCCGTGCAACCCGGAGCCATCTATCAGATGCTAGGCTGGGAAGAGCCTTCAGAGCCTTCTTGGCGCTGGGCTGTTTCGAGACACTTTGAAGCGAAGACCCCAAGCCGGGAGTCTCTGCTGAGGAACGACTACATGACACTCTGGAATGACAGCAACGACCCTGTCTCAGCTGTGCTGTGTCTCGGCATGACACAGGAAGAGGCCGTTCGTGTCATGCCGGGGGGGAGGGGGTGAGTCAGCCAGTCCAGAGACAGACTCGTACTGTAAGCTTGTCAGGCGATTCCCGGCACTTCCTTCTTACGTCTTACAGTCATCAGTCATCAGAGCAGAGATTCGCCAGCAGCAAGAAGCCGTGCTAGAGTCGCAAGCCTGAAAAAACCATATCATAGCCTCGTTTTGTCGCACCAGCACCAGACGCTCATTCCCAAACTTTTTGCCAGGCCTGCTCCCATATTCATCATCCTGGGCCTCTTTCCCTACAAAGATATTCCAGGTAGGACTGAAGTCCGTCGGTTGTGTTTTCGCTGGACATCTTCCAGGCGCGTGGTCGCACCTGACCGCTTCGAGCTCAAGGCGCAAAAGGGGGGTCCTGGATCCTTGGGCCTGGATCATTGCTCAACTCACCTTTCGGAGCCGGGACGTCGAGATCCAACCGTTCGCGTTGGCTCTGATCTTTCCTGCCCTGTTTTGAGGAGTTATTAGCTGTTCTCCGTTCGGAGTTCTTGCTTGCGATAATATGTATCTCTGTTACAGGGCTGTAGCTTTGCATGGAGATCCCGGCAGCAGCAAGAGTTCTTCAGTCAACCGCAGCGCTTGATGGATTTGGCTTGGGCAGCCCTCGCAGCACGCAGTCAAGGTGTCCCAGCTCGACTCCGTCGGCGGCGGCAGCGATGGTTGGATCACCTTCAGGAGACATCTATTTGGGAGATGTCTGAGTTTCTCGAGCTTTGTGTCGGCTATTTTGGTTCCCCTCTTAGAAGCCTTGGATGGAGAGCGCGCGGGGGCCCTCCCTTGTGTCAATCCAGCTCTGGTTCTCGTGGAGCCAGTGTTTCTTTGCTTGCGGGCACATATGTACATATATATATATATATATATAACTATGTACATAGGTATACATATGTACAATCAATAGACAGAGGCTTATACGTATAAGTAGGTGTAAATACCCTAACCTTCCAAAGCACTGGTTTAACGGATGCGTTCAAGTAAAGCATGCTAAACACTGAACCCACGCATTTTACTTGTATATGGGTCTTCATGACTTTACACGTTCTAGGCTATGTAGATCATTGGATTTAATGAATGATGGCATCTTGGGTTTCGGGCAGATGTTGCAAGGGATCGAAGAAATTCGGGATTGGGCAATAAGAGAGAGACTGAAGCCATCCCCCGAAACAAAAGCAGCACAGCACGGCAGCAGCTGCTTCCGTCGACGAGCTCACGATTGGGTGCCCCATTTTATCTTCTTCCCTTGGCGCTGCGGTTGAGGGCTCCCATTCGGTGGGGTCGTCTGAGCGAAGCCAAGCGGAATCTTGCGGCTTTGATCACTGATGATTCCAAACATTTCTTGTCCGCAACCTGAGCCACTCCTTAGATAAGATAAGTTTCGGTGCACCGTGAAGTTAAGGATGTATTCGGAAGAGGGCGAAATTCCGGTTCTAATTTGCCGTGATGCCTTTCAGCCATCGCATCGCATCTTCTTCTCTGTATGTGTGGTGCAGTCTGCTGCTCAATCCTTCGCAGAAATGGTTGTACTCCCGCACAGGCAGACAAGCCAAAGAATATTTGAACCAAGCGTCGTCTCTGCTTCATATCGACCATCTGATGATGCATTGCCTGAGTTGGAAAGAGAAAGACTTGCCAAGCATCGATGGTATTTTGGAAATGCCGGCAAGGCTCGTGGATTTTCGGTCGAACATGCCAGTGGAGCTTCTGAAGCCTGTTGCATTGCAAACGGTTTTCTTGTTGCACGATAAGTTGTATACTGTATGCCACGAAGCCAGCCTCATGGACATCTTGCACAGCAAGACGTGATACCGCAGGTATCGCATCCCATACTTGTAGATTTCATTGGCCTGTGGAGCCGTCCTTCAGTATCAAACCAAGAAAATAGTGCGGCCTAATTTGTCCAACATCCCCTAAACTTCTGCAAATTCCCAAACCTTATTCACCAAAACCCCCGCTTCTTCTAACAAATGAAGATCACCTGAACACCCCAGCCGAGCAACAGGTATATTGGGAAGCGCTCGACGGCATCGAACCACTGGCACAGCGACTGCCTCGAAATCAGAAGGGTTTCGTAGTATTCGCTGAGGTTTCAGGTCTTATGGGGGGCAGAAGAAGAGAAGTTAAGGCTCATGTAGAGTAAAGCACAGGAAGCGATGTTGGGGTTTCAGGGTGTCTTTTGATCTGTTAGACTGAGAATGAAACAGATTTTGATAAATATCTTCCAAGTATCATTGCTACACAGATGGGGCCAAAGCGTGCATCATCGTTATCCGGCCATGGCTTTCCTTCGTTCTGGCAACGTGCATGAAGCCACTGCCCGAAATCGCGATTGTGAGTGGTGTGATGAGCAGCAGCCCTTTCCATACAGTCACCCAGCCACATAGCGATAACTCGACCATTGTACCCCTTGTGACCCATGTGGGCCCCGTGCTTCTCAGGCTTCCAAACCTAGTTTTGATCCGGTTGCAGCATCAACGTTTTAGGTGTACAGGGTTGGTAGGGTTAAGGTTTAGGTTTTGCGATTGAGGGGTGCAAACTGTACTTCAGAGCTCTTCCTCAAAACGGCCCAGGGACAAAGTTCGGCACAAACTTGGTCTGGGAACAGTAAATCCTCCGCTCCTTCTGGAAGGCTTTGAAATCGCGGAAGGCAACCACCAAGAGCTTGTGCAAGGAATTGTCTGGGTCGCCGAAGTACCCATTCTCCACCAGAAACATCCTCGGCGTTCGTGCATAAACCGATCAACCCAGCATTGTGGTTCAGCATTTAATTCATATAATATAGTGGAAGCCCGAACACATTTCTTGAAGCCACAGGACAAAGTTGAACCTGTAGCATCCTGTGCTACTCCCAAGTTGACATTGTGTAGGCTGCAATGGCAAAGCATTCCATAGTGGAACCCACGAAGCCCCAGGAAGGGACCTTCAGCACATCATCACGTGCACTTGGGTGACTACAAAGTCTTATCCTGTATAACCGAACTAGGTTATGAATCGTTGATTGCATTGGTTCAAGCACAAACGTGGCTCTGCCCGATGCCGTAGACTACGAACTGGTTATGCGAAAGCTCAGTTTGTGCCCAGGACGGATGATCTCTCAGATCGCAGATGGAGTGCAGGGCTTGGTGGTGATTCTCAGCGTCACATCTCCAGCAGCACCACCGGGTTTTCCACCATCGTTTAAGCCGCCAAGTTTGGTAATGATATTCCCAGTCACCTTTCATCTGTGTTACAGCGAACTTTCTGCCCAGAGGTCGATTGTCCGGGGTCAGGCCATCGAAGGCTGCGTTTAAAGATTCCACGATTGCACGATAAAGAGGATTGTGGCTCTTCCATCCCAGGCTCAATTCAGTATCTAGGCACCAAAGTAGCCATTGACTCATCCTCGTTGACTTCGGTCTCCACAACACAAGGCTCATAAAGCAACCTGTGATTTTGGCTTGATCGTAGCCCTGCCCATACCGAGCAGTGTCACCATAGAGTGATACAGGGATGTGGGAACCATCAAAGTCGGGGTCGCAACACCAGTCACACCAGCGCTTACAGTGGGCCCAATACTTGGCTAGAGCATCTGCAGAAATTTCCAAGCCAAGCTCCTCGAACAGAAAAGACAAGATGCGGTGCGGGAGTAGCACCGGAACCTTCACACATACTTCTTCTTCCGAATCGTGTTTCTGCTTCAGAACGGTCTCCACATAAACAGGTGCCTGGCACACGACCCAAAACCACAATCCCTAGACCTAGACCAAGCATTAACGACTCGTAAACCCTAAACCTTAAATCCGAAGCCCAAGACCTCCTGACGGTCAAAGCCGCTTATTTTGAGGCTAGCCCGAAACTCTTAGGGTTCGGGTCGGGGGATTTCGCAGCAAAGCACCACCGGGAGCCGAATTGATCGTGTAAAGTCGCGAGCATGGTTCTTGCCACTGAAGGTGCCGAGCTTCGTCAATGGGGCCGGAAGAAGACCAGCTGCGTCCTCGGCCACGGTTGCATCGAAACACTCTACGTATAGGACTTGGGTTTAGGCTTTGGGGTGGCTTGAAGGTTTGTGCAGCCGGGTTTCGGTAACAGTGGATTTGGCGCCTCTCATCTCACGGGCGATGGAGCCGGCCTTTGAAGGATTTTTCAAGCTGGGCTTCAGGGTCCTATGTGGCGTGTTGATAAAGTCTCAGGGTTTTTCGTCTTGTGCAGGGACCGATCACACCATTCGATTAGGCAAGGAGCAGCTGCGACATTGTCCACCATATCAAAAACGACCTCTGAAGTACTCGAAACTCCACCTGCGAGCGGAGAGGTCGGTGCTATACTCCTATGTTCCTGTGGTGCTGCTTGTATCTATGATTTCGTGCATAGGCCGAGCTGGGATGTCTAAGCAGAATTTTCCAAGCGGGCCCGCCAAATCCGGCACGTCTAAGGCACTCGAGGATTTCCCCATCCCCTGCACCAAGTGCAAGATAGCAGGGTTCATTGATGCTTTGTAGCACCAGACACTTCGGAACACCGACATTTGCTTTCATAATGCCGGCAAAAGCTTCATCTTCTCCACACAGCATCAGACCCCCGAGGGCTAGTGCCTGATCTACATATATAAGCTTTATAAGCTAAATGAAACATAACATGTAGGATTCGCAACCGTGCAACCACAACCACTCGGGTGCTGTGTCTCGGACGAGCTCCCTACTTCTCCTTCACAAAGCTCTTCTTCTTGCCGAAAGCAAGCACCTGGCCCTGCATCTTCTTCATGAGCTGCTCAGCCTGCTCGGTCAACGTCACCATGTCGTTCTCCTGACAAGATCAGACATCTTAGGGTTCAAGGCTGTTGAAACTTAGGGTCATGGTATGGTGCAAGTTAAATCTAAGGCGAAGCAGACTTGTGTTGTTTAGTTTAGCGAGATCCAGCTTAAGTTTAGGGGTTGATGTCGTGGCAGCAGATAATAGTGCAAATCTGATCGAAAAGAGCAGGCTTGGGAGGCCCACTAGATCGATAAGCAAAATCCAGCTCCTCCTGTCCATCGACAGCACTTTGCAAGCTTGCTCTGCAGGCGGAGAGCTGGCCGATGCAATCATCGAGATCCTTGCGGAAGGCCTTCTGCACCTGCTTGCTCCTTTGCACGAGGGGGCATCGGCGGGATTCAAGGGTTTAGTTCCTTGCATCGTCGGTTCGAGAGACTCAGCCCCCAACAACCCATCCAAGTCAGCAATCTTTGCATTGTGGTCACGGATCATCTTGCTGAGCTGGCCGATGGCCTGGGAGGGCACAGGAACGGGTGTGAGAGTACGGGGTTTTGCTTTCATGAACACTTGCCTTGTTGGCTGCCTGCTTTGCTTTCTTGAACCTGGCTTTCTCCTCCTCGGCCTTTTCGTCCTTCTCATCCTTCTCCTTCTTACCCTTCTTATTCTTTTTTGCATTTTTCTTAGACTTCTTCTTGCTCTTCTTGTCGTCCTTGCTCTTTCCCTCCTTCTTTCGATCGTCCTTTGCGCTTTCGTGCTGGGGTGCAATCGGCTTTTGGTTTAGGGATCAAGGTTTTGAGATTTTAAGGGTGTCAGGGTTTAGGGTTTTAGGGGCAGCAAAAATGGTTTGTGTTTTTGGGTTTGGGCTTTCGGGTTTGTTTTGTTGGCGTGTAGCTGTAGGTGTGCAACCCAGCAAGAAAACACATATGTGCATGGAACATTATTGCATGTACATGTATACAATGTCATGTATGCAGGTGTGCATGTGTATGTGTGCATGTATGTCATGTGTGCATGGTACGTATGTATGCAGGTACGGATGCAGGAAATGTAGTGTGCACGGGTATGCAAATGTCAGCCATTGAACCAATCCGCCACCCACTCATTTATCAATCACTCACACACGACTTCACGGTCCTTGCCACCTTTGTTTGGCTTGTCGTCGTCATCATCGTCCGAGCTCGAGCCGTCGTCGGACTCACCTCTGTCCTCCTGCTGGAACAGATCCGCAATCTCATCAACATCCTCGTCGGTGACCTCCTCGTCCACCAAGACGAGGTACTGGATAAGCCCTGCGAATTTTCGTGAAGGTTTCACATGGGAAAGTAAAACATTGAACAACACAGATCATATCTATGCATGAATGCATTGGTACAATTCCCCCGGCTCCTGGGCATTCCGGGTGCTCTCGCACCTCCGTCTTTTTAAGGTACTCGTCGGTCTCTTTGCGGGCGATAATGCTGTCCACGATGCTTGCATCATCAAAATGCACTAGCATTTGGGATCGTGTGAGCCACCGGCGAATCCCCCGTCGGCCGTTTCTGGTGATGGACTTAATGGTCCGAAAGATCATCGATTTCTTCCAGTCCCCCTCCGTTTGGAGGAAGTCCTCGTACAAGCTGCTCATCTTGTTCTTGCCTGAGTAGCGATCGTACATGCACATGTGTAATATAACAAAAGCTGCGACCACTAAGTGCAAGCATGGCACAGTACTTCGACTGATCGAATGCCGACTTGATCTCGGTGGGGCAGGTCCGGCCTAGGTAGATGTATACACACTGCACACACACACATTGCAGTATAGGCTGCAACATGATCACACAATCATCATATGAGTCAAGTGGCTGTGCACACTTCGGTAAAACCTCATGTACATCTTGTGTGCAAACTTCTTCTTGTTCTCTAGGCTCTGCTCCTCCGTGGCTTCCTTTGCGTTGGCCTGCTTATCCTTGCTGGGGGATGAATGCGGCTTGCGTGCTGCTTTCTTGGGGCTCGGCATGGGCTGATTGCTGGACCTGGCTGTCCTGTGATCCTCCTGTTGCTTCGCCGTGGCACCATCGCCTTTGGACTTCTTGTTG